AATAAACCCAGGAGCTGGTTTTCTGAAAAGATCAACAAAATAGATAGACCACTAGCCAGACTAACAAAAAAGAAAAGAGAGAAGATTCAAATAGAAGCAATAAAAAATGACAAAGGGGATATCACCACCGATCCCACAGAAATACAAACTATTATCAGAGATTACTACAAACACCTCTATGCAAATAAACCAGTAAATCTAGCAGAAATTGATAAATTCCTGGACACTTACACACCCTCCCAAGACTAAACCAGGAAGACGCTGAATTCCTGAATAGACCCATAACAAGGTCTGAAGTTGAGGCGGCAATTAATAGCCTACCAACCAAAAAAAAGTCCAGGCCCAGATGGGTTCACAGCCAAATTCTACCAGAGGTACAAAGAGGAGCTGGTACCATTCCTTCTCAAACTATTCCAAACAATAAAAAAAGAGGGAATCATCCCTAACTCATTTTATGAGACTGACATCATCCTGATAACAATACTTGGCAGAGATGCAACTAGAAAAGAAAATTTCAGGCTAATATCCGTGATGAACATTGATGCAAAAATCTTTAATAAAACATTGGCAAACCAAATCCAACAGCACATCAAAAAGCTTATCCATCACGATCAAGTCAGCTTCATCCCAGGGATGTAAGGCTGGTCCAACATCCACAAATCTATAAATCCATCACATAAACAGAACCAACGACAAAAACCACATGATTATCTCAATAGATGCAAAGAAGGCCTTTGACAACATTCAAGAGCCCATTATGCTAAAAACTCTCAATAAAGTAGGTATCGATGGATTGTACCTCAAAATGATAAGAGCTATTTATGACAAACCCACGGCCAATAACATACTGAATGAGCAAAAACTGGAAGCATTCCCTTTGAAAACTGGCACAAGACAAGGATGCCCTCTCTTACCACTCCTATTCAACATAGTATTGGAAGTTCCGGCTAGGGCCATCAGGCAAGAGAAAGAAACAAAGGGTATTTGAATAGGAAGAGAGGATGTCAAATTGTCCGTTTACAGATGACATGCTTGTATATTTAGAAAAACCCATTGCCTCGGCCCAAAATCGCCTTAAGTTGATAAGCAACTTTAGCAAAGTCTCAGGATATAAAATCAATGTGCAAAAATAGCAAGCATTCCTATACACCAATAACAGACAAACACAGAGCCAAATCAGGAGTGAACTCCCATTCACAATTGCTACAAAGAGAATAAAATACCTAGGAATACAACTAACAAGGGATGTTAAGGAACTCTTCAAGGAGAAATACAAACCACTGCTCAAGGAAATAAGAGAGGACACAAACAGATGGAAGAATATTCCATGCTCACTGTTAGAAACAATATCATGAAAATGGCCATACTGCCCAAAGTAATTTATAGATCCAATGCTATCCTCATCAAGCTACCAATAACTTTCTTCATAGAATTGGAAAAAAACACCTTAAACTTCATATGGAACCAAAAAAGAGCCCACACAGCTAAGACAATCCTAAGCAAAAAACAAACAAAACAAACAAACAAACAAACAAACAAAAACAAAGCTGGAGGCATCATGCTATCTGACTTCAAACTATATTACAAAGCTACTGTACTCAAAACAGCATGATACTGGTACCAAAACAGAGATATAGAACAATGAAACAGAACAGAGGCTTCAGAAAGAACACCACACAACTATAACCAACTGACCTTTGACAAACCTGACAAAAAAAAGCAATGGGGAAAGGATTCCCTACTTAATAAATGGTGTTGGGAAAACTGGATAGCCATATGCAGAAAGCTGAAATTGGATTCCTTCTTCACATCTTATACAAAAATTAACTCTAGGTGGATTAAAGATTTAAACATGAGGCCTAATGCCATAAAAACTCTAGAAGAAAACCTAGGCAATACCATTCAGAACGTAGGCATGGGCAAGGACCTCATGACTAAAACATCAAAAGCGATGGTAACAAAAGCCAAAATAGACAAATGGGATCTAACTAAATTTAGGAGCTTCTGCACAGCCAAGGAAACTATCAAAAGAGTGAACCGGCAACCAACAGAATGGGAAAAAATTTTTGCAATCTACCCATCTAACAAAGGGCTAATATCCAGTATCTATGGAGAAGTTAAACAAATTTACAAGAAAAAAACAACCCCATCAAAAAGTGGGCAAAGGATATAAACAGACACTTTTCAAAACAAGACATTTATGCAGCCAACAAACATATGAAAAAAAGCTCATCATCACTGGTCATTAGACAAATGCAAATCAAAACCACATTGAGATACCACCTCACACCAGTTAGAATGGTGATCATTAAAAAGTCTGGAGACAACAGATGCTGGAGAGGATGTGGAGAAATAGGAATGCTTTTGCACTGTTGGTGGGAGTGTAAATTAATTCAACCATTGTGGAAGACAGTGTGGCAATTCCTCAAGGATCTAGGAATATCATTTGATCCAGCAATCCTATTACTGGGTATATACCCAAAGTATTATAAATCATTCTATTATAAAGAAACATGCACATATATATTTACTGTGGCACTGTTCACAATAGCGAAGACTTGGAAATAACCCAAATGCCCATTAATGATAGACTGGGTAAAGAAAATGTGGCACATACACACCATGGAATACTATGCAGCCATAAAAAAGAATGAGTTCATGTCCTTTGCAGGGACATGGATGAAACTGGAATCCATCATTCTAAATAAACTGACACAAGAACAGAAAACCAAACACCTCATATTCTCACTCCTAAGTGGATGTTGAACAATGAGAAAACACAGATACAGGGAGGGGAATACCATACACTGGGACATTGGGGATGGGGGGCTAGGGGAGGAATAGCAGGACGTGGAGGACTATGGGGGGATAGCATTAGGAAAAATACCTAATGTAGATGACGGGGTGACAGATACAGCAAACCACCACCATGGCACGTGTATAACTATGTAGCAAACTTGATCTGCACATGTACCCCAGAACTTAAAGTATAATAAACAAACAAACAAATCCGTGAAGCATAGTAAAATGAGGTATGCCTTGACTACCATTATATAAATGCTCATTGATGATTAAAAAAAATGGTGAATTTCTCAATGCTTTTAAGATTTAATTCAGTAACAGTTTTGATGTACCAAATATTTTATGGACCTCCAATGATATAAAATGAAGTAGAATCATTTAATCAACAAATATCAGAACTAGAAAAGACTTTAGGAACACTCAAGTCCATTTCCATTTTACAGGTAAGTAAGAAAACCAAAGCCCAGAAAGTCTAAGCAAACTTCTCAGTTATATATTGCTGGCCTTTAGACCTAAGATGCTAGATATTTAGGTCCTTTTAAACACACCACTGTCATTTTATTTCTCTAAAATGACAATATCAACACAAAGGATATTAAATTTAGTGTAGGAAGATGTTTGTGTCCATAGCACAACTCACCATTTGACATATATGTTTATACTTTTCTTTTTTCTATATTTCAACCACTGCAACTAGGCTGTTCAAATTAATAGTCTTTTACCACATGCAGCTATCTAAATTTACTTAAAATTAATTTAATTAAAATTTAGTTATTCACTCATACTAGTCCTATCTCAAGTGCTCAAAGTACTAAAACTACTGCATATGATAATGCAGGTATAAAATATTTCCATCATCCCAGAAAGTCAATATATACAGGTTCACCCACACAGAAAATAAAATTCCCTTATGTTGTAACACTTGGCATCTGTGCACTTCCCTTTCCTATTTCATGCTATGTTCCCTGGCCCGATGTACTGAATGCAGATTCAGTACTAGGAGAAAAATGCTCCGGCTGCTCATGTGAGGAGGACTGCCAAGCACTGTTATCATGAGATGACCCAGCACTGCTTCCTGCTGAAAGGTCTCCCCTGGGGGTGAATCTGGGTTGCTAGCACTTTCTGCTGTACGCTAGACGCAGAGAGCACCAGCAGACTGAGACACCTCAAAGACAGCATAATTTCAGTAACAGGAGAGGAGAAGCAGAATTCTGCTGCTGTCAAGTAAATTAGTAGTTTAACTTTCTTGTTCCATTTTTGGTAGGGAAGAAAGTGGAAATGGAGAGAGAATAAGAATGAAAAAGATAATTTATTGTGATTACGGGGTTTACTTTAAATATGGGATAAAGCTAGGTATACAAATAACAGCACTAGAGAAAGTTACAAGATGATTATCTTGACACAAGTATTCCATAGTGTTAAGCATTTAATTTCTTCTTGGGTTACATACATGCACATTGCCTATATCCTAAAACTAAACTATAAGCTCCTTGTGAGTAAAAATTATATTTTATCCTTTTCAGAAAATAATTATGGTATTAATAAAAAGCTATCTGAGAACAAAACATTATGAAATTGTAGCACTCTTGTAGATTAAAATGTTGGAAGATTTATTGTTAAATATTTATTAACAGATCCAACTCTTCTAGAAGCAGCTAATAATTTGCCTAATCTGTCATCATAATTGGGTAAACGAATGTTAGAGCCATGATATTGAAAGCATATTATATGAAAGTAAACAAAAGTATGTTCATGGAAAACTTTATTGTCATTCTTTAAAAGCGAGGATAATCAGCATTTACCAAAATTATGTAATTTTAAAAAATTAGGTTCAAAGTATAAGGTAGACTCCAAGAACAAGCAAACTTTTTTTCTGTAAAGATCCAAATAGTAATATTTTAAGGTTGCTGGGCATATATGGTCTCTACCATGACCACTTAAATCTGTATTGTAGTGTAAAAGTAGCCACAGAAAATACATAAATAGATCTGTGTGGCTGCTTTTCAATAAAACTTTATTTACAAAAAACAGCCAGCTTATGAGCTGTAGTTTGCCAATCCTTGAAGCAGATGATATATGACTAGAAATAGCATTAAATGGCACAGAAAAAGGATAAGTTCATATTTTTATAGAATAAATAAATATATGTGACATTTTCAAGATTCTTACAAAAAACTTAAATAGCACATAAATCTTACCTGATTAGGTATCCTCAATGGGGGCCTTGGACCTCCAGGGTACCGAGGTGACATAAAAGGCTATTGAAGTAAAACAAACAAATAAACAAACAAAACAAAAAACAGTACAATGTAAAATATAGATCTGAAAATAAACTACTTAAAAAAATTTTAGAATTAATCAAATCACAAATCAATGTACTTTGGGCTGCTTTCATTATAGTAAATTCTTCTAAGAAAAATTACCATGTCATTATTTACTTTATAGAATATCTAGAAAATTTTCCAAAGAAAATAAACATAAAAGCTGACTAAATATAGCAAAATATTTTAAAAATGTGAATTATTAAGGCAATAACATCTAGTGGCAAAAATAAGGTTAAGCAGCAGACAATTTAATCTTAAAAAGAACCTCCAGAGGTAGCTTACTGCCTGTTATTAGGTTCTAAATAGATACTTTTGATTGAATTGTTGGGTTTGGTTACCAATTCCTTTAATAATTTTAAGGTTGCCAAATTCCATCTTTTCTTTTATAGCTTTGTTTAAAATGATAAACAAATTTCTTTTCCAAGGGTCATTTGTAGTCAAAAAAGTCACGAGTTTCTTATAGCTCAAAACTGACTCTGTGGGTGTGTCAGCACACACCTATAGTCTCACCTACTCAAGAGGCTGAGGCAGAAGGATTACTTGAGCTCAACAGTTAGAAGCTGTGGTGCATGATGGCCATGCCTGTAAATAGCCACTGCACTCCAGCCTGGGCAACAGAGTAAGATGTTATTTCTTTAAAAAAAATTTTGACCAATAAATAAATAAATAAATAAATAATTGACTACAAATTTTAAAGTTGAAATTTCTTTGCATATTTTGACCCTAGGTGATTATAAAGTATATATTTTTAACAAAAGAAAAAATGGTCTTATATTAAAAGTCAAGTTAATGTATGTTGTTGGATGAATCAGAGGCTCCTAAGATGTACTGAATCTGTCAGTCCAGAAATTGTCTGAAAAATATCCTAAAAGCAACATTTTAGTGAAATGTTTAGGTAGAAGGAGACCATTTTTGATCATTCAGACTTAGGCCCCAAAATTTTGTAAGTTTATTAAATTATTTAAAATTTGATTATTTTTCTAGAAACAACAGAAAAACTATAATTTTGTTTAATTACATCTCAACATATAATTACTTAAATGTAAGATGTTCCTTACATGTAATATAAGCAAATATCAAATCTAAAGGGTTGAATATTAAGATAGTAAGAATGAATTAATATAAATTAAGAATTAATATATAGTAAATAGACAAAGGTTTGGGGACATCACATTTATAGTGCTTTACATAATTAAATCCTACATGTAGAATGTATTTTCTACAAATATTTTTAGAAATTAGGCTTGGAAGACATGGCTACTCATGTTTTCCAGAGCTGTTTTAAAAGGGGCCTCTGAAAAATAAAGTCCTAGGTAATGGTGCATAGATTTTTCCTATGGTATCTTTTGCAGAGTCTGACAAACCAACAAAAGAAACTTCACAATTAAGCAAGCAATTTGGCTTTTTGCTCACTGTGTTCTTATGTGTAAATGTGCTCCCAGGAGTTCATTTTATATGGACAGAAACAGTAGATTATTCAGGTAGTATTGTAACCTCCAGCTGATAAAACTTAAGTAGATTTTCCAATTTTAACAAAGTCGATTTAAAAAATATTTAGTTTTCACATATTTTATTAAAGTTGTCTCTCATTTATCATTTTGAAACTCTATCGTAAATTGGGTAAGTTAGTTATGTACTGTCAGCTAGAAGCTTGTTCTAATATTCACACTCTCTCTGTTATTTTCTCTTTCCTTTCTATATCACCTAATTTCACCTATGAAGCTGTCTTTTAAATTCTGTATTCATTAAAAAAATTTAATAAATATTGTGTCATTGGTTTGTAATGGCTGTCTTTCTTTTACAAAATGATGTTTTATGATATATTCATTAATTCAAAATATAGTATCAATTTAGTTTTCAAACATGGAGAAATAAAAACGGGTTACTAATAATTTTTGTCTGTAATAAAACTACTCTGAAGTAGAATAGAAGGTAAAATTATGTGAAAAATACTACTAAATGTCAAAGGTTGAGATAAATATTTACAAGAGCCTCACTTGAAATCGAACACTTGAGATTTGTGTGTTTATCTGAATGTAAGAAGATGATATAGTGTTATAGTGTTAATTTAATGGAATATGTGAAAGGAGAATTTTTTTTCCCCAAATGGATGGCATTGTGAATGAATGTATGTTAATGAACTGTCTATACCTTCCTACCTAGGAAGAGGCTGCTGTGAGGGAGGGTCAGTGCATGTGGCTAGCTAGGGACCTGCAGGTTACTACAACATGAGCTCAAGAGAAAGAGACAGATTCTGTTTTTAGTCCATTTATTTGCTCTTATATGTTCTCCTTTAAGAAGTTCAAATTTGTGTGGTTTTTTGGAGGCAAAAAAAAGAAAACCACTTATAAACTCTAATCTATATCTACACAATTAAAACACAAAAAGATAAAACAATCAGTTAATATGGCTAAAACTACTACTTTTACCTGAAACATAAAGATCACTATGGTTAAAGTATTTTTAATATAAAATTAGTGCTATTACAACATATGGTTTAATGTTCAGATTGATCCTTACCTTATCTAGGTAACCACCTAACTCCTCAACTGCCTAGTGAATTAGCTGTGTAGACACGGCAACAGAATCCAAAAGGGTTTGCATACTAGCAAATGTGCAGTAATATCTGTACTTCACTATTTAGAAGTCAATTTGCTTTCAAATGAAATTCAAAATATTAACACAAATTTTAATTATTTTATGGTAAAACGCTAATCTGTCAGAGATTATGCTAATGTAAATTATATCTATTGAAAGACATGTCAGTATTTCCTGTTTTAGCAATTTGAGAACAGGTGCTTCAGGAGTCTTTGGGTTGGGCGAGGTGGCTTATGCCTGTAATCCCAGCACTTTGGGAGGCTGAGGTAGGCAGATCACTTGAGGGCAGAAGTTTGAGACTAGCCTGGCCAACATGACAAAATGCTATCTCTACTAAAAATAAAAACAATTAGCTGGGCTTGGTTGCGCACACCTGTAACCCCAGCTACGTGGGAGGCTGAGGCAGGAGAATCACTTGAACCCAGAGGTTGTAGTGAGCCAAGATTGCACCACTGCACTCCATCCTGGGTGACAAAGCAAGACTGTCTCAAAACAAAATAAAACAACACAAAACAACACAACACAACAGACAAAAAAGAGTCTTTGGTTCTTAAAATGTGTTTACCCTTTATGTTTGGGGGAACATTCTTTTTTCTGTTTCAGTTTGAGTATCAAATACTTGTCTGAAGGTCTCATGATGGTGAAACAGTATTTTAACTGGAAAAAAGCCTTCCCCAGAAAGAATTATTTGTAATGTGTGTGGAAATAACATTTGACTGGGAGTCAAGGACCTGGGTTTTAGTTTTTGTACCTCTATTAATTAGCAGTGTCCCTGAGCCAATAATCTTTCAGGGCTTTAGTTTTCTCAATCTTAAAATGAGAGATTTGAACCAGATGATTTCTAAAGTCCTTTTTAAAATAAGGGACCCATGATTCTGTTAATTATTTTCAGTATTACATTTAAATACAAAGATTAGTATAATGGAGATAGCTATACATATTTGAAGTGTGTGTGGGTGAGGCAGGGAGTGGGGATAAAGGCATACGTTTTTAAGGCACAAACCATTTTTATTGAGGAGCTGAAGAAAATTATTACCATGTTTTGTAGAGAAAAGGAAAAACCTGAAGATTAAATATCCCAAAAAACAACAAAAAAATCTTTGTTGTGTCAGATTAAAGGTCAATTAGGAGAATAAAAAAGCTATACTTATCAATGAGAAAATATGGCAGAAATCTGTTCATTCAAAAACAACATATATATATATGTTTGAATGAATAAAACATAGATATAGATAGATATAGATATATTGATATTGATGTAGATATAGATTGATTAACAGGGTCTTACTCTGTTGCACAGGCTGGAGTACAGTGCCATGATCACGGCTCCATGCAGCCTTAACCTCCCAGGCTCAAGCAATCCTCCCACCTCAGCCTCCTAAGAAACTGGGACTACAGGTGTGGTATACAACAGCATACCTGAGCATCCAAAAAAAAAATTGTGGAGACAGGGTCTCGCTCTGTTGCCCAGGCTCATCTCAAACTCCTGGGCTCAAGTGATTCTCCTGCCTTGACCTCCCAAAATGCTGGGATTACAGGTATGAACCATCACGTCCCGCTCATCAAATATTTATTAAACACTCACAAAGGCACTGTTCTAAGTGGCTAGATATATCAGTGAACAAAGCAGATAAAGATGACTGCCCTCTGATTAGGATTTTTCAAGGTTCATAGTCTTGTAATTAATAGGAGAAACAATTTTCTATAAAAAACTGTTTTCTACATCGGTCCACTAATCTGAGACAAATAGAATGTTCTCTTCACCAAATGGCAAGTATCAATAAAAACCCAGAGAAAATAATATTTCAATCTGGTGTCTTTCCTCAAAAGTCATATTACATCATCCCTATTTGATAGAACATGTAGTGCTATGAATACTGAAGATCAAGGCTATGCTTTTAAAACAGTTTCCAAATCAGGAAAAACTCATAGGTAAGCTTATTTACTTTATAAGAGAAATTGGGTAGCATAGTTAGTACTCTGACATATGGAAACTACATTTATAGGTATAAATTCTCATTTCTAAATGTTCTAGTTATCTCTGTATGCTATGGACTGAATGTTTATGTCTCCATAAAATTCCTAAGTTAAAACCCTAATCTCCAATGTGACAGTATTTGGAGGTGGGACCTCTGAGAGCTAATTAAGTCATGAGGGTGGAGCCCTCATAAATGGGATAAGTACTCCTATAAAAAGAGGCACAAGAGAGATATCTTTCTTTCTGTCATGTGAGTATTACAGCTATCTGCAAGCCAGGAGGAGGGCCCTCACCAGGAGTCAAATTGGTTGGCACCTTGATTTTGGACTTCCCAGCCTTCGGAACTCCAAAGAATAAA